ATTTAACAATTAAAATAAACGATACCGCGAACAAGAGAGAGTTCGAAATATACAGAAAACCAACAGCCACAGACACAATTATACACAATAGCTCAAACCACCCACAGCAACACAAAATGCAGCATTTAGACAAATAACGAGGCTTGAAAGGAACCCTCAAACAGAAGAAGACTACAAGAAGTAACTGGATACGATATATGCCATTGCGGAAAATTACGGATATAGGAGAGGCCTGGTGGAGAAGTTAAGAAAGGACACAAAATCGAAAAAGACTAGCAAAGAGGAAAACAATGAAAAAACTTGGACAGTTCTAACTTACACAGGAAAGACATCTTACAAACTTGCCAAATTCTTTCATAAGTACGACATTCAGACATCATTTAAAACAAGGAACACAGTGGGAAATATATTGAAAGAGAAAATAAGCGAGGAAAACCCGCTAGATAAACAGGGTGTTTACAAGTTAACCTGCGAGTGCCGACACAGTTACATAGGACAAACAGGGCGAAATATAAGAACAAGGTATCGAGAACACATAATGGATTATAATAAGAAGAAACGAAAACCAGAGGCTGCAATAGAATCAAAGTTCGCGAATCACATGATCAAAAATAAATGCACACCAATGAAGATTGGACAAACAACAGAACTTCTTCGTGTACAGCATAAAGGACAAAGATTGAATATATTAGAAAATATGTAAATATATAAACAGAAGACCTTCAAAGGACAAATAATAAATGAGCAAATAAATACTGTATCGAACGTACTGTTTGAACCTCTAAAACTACTGTACGAGAAGAAAAATTACAACAACAAAATATTAAGGACAGACATGGAAGGGAATACACCAACTGCAAAAACAAAGAGGCTAAAAATCAAGGACTTCTACCTGCCGTCAAAAACGAGCCAAAACAATTCATCTACCTATTGAGCACCGCAAACACTGCAAAACTAAAAAGGCGTACCTAACAAGAGAAAGAGGTAGTTAACAAGGAGTATAAATACGAGCAACCAAAAAAATTATGCAGAACGAAAAATGACACTGAAGATGGCACAACGCCGAAACCGGTTTGTCTCCAAACCAAATTTGACAAGGGATGACGGAAATTCGTTCCAAAATACAGCATATTTTTAACTTCTTCTGGCGAGGCGACATCTATCTCTAGAGTTTTTCTAATTGTATGACTTTGATATGATACCTACGACGAGGTTGATCTAGACTAGGTTTGCCATAAATACCTTTGCTATATTTATAGTATGGTGGTCTGGACATACAACATTGCAAGTTGATAAAAGCGTTGTAAAATGGTGATTTTTGGTGATTTTTTTTCAGAATTCGCACTTTTTTTAAACAATCTGGACACCTGCTCACAAGTCCAAATCGGCAGAGGTTAGGTTCAGTTATTAAAGTTTTTCTTATATCTATCTTTGAAAAAATTTAAAAACAACACCAAAAATCTCATTAATACGATTCCGTTCAAAACTTTTTTTTATTTTTTTTTATATTTTTATGTAAATTTTTTAAGCTTAAACCGTTTTGTCGTTTGAGGGGATTTTCTCAAAAAACATCTTTAAGAAACTATTTTTATTCATAAAAAACTTCATTTTTGGAGGTATTTTCAAAGCGGTCTAGCTCGCTTAAATCTTAATATTTTTCCGAAATATTTTGGTGGACGGCTTGAAATATAATAGATTTTATAATTCCAATAGAAACGGCACCGATTTTTTTTTGTGGGGAGTGATGCAGTCTAATGTGCATATACATATGTATGTTTTACTTTTCATATCAGCTTAGGCTGCGGTTACTATGCATGCGTATTCTGACGAAATTTTATCCTGATGATTTCTTCGGAACAAAAAGATGCGAAACAAACCAACAAAGTTCGTCAGAATACGAATGCATAGTAACCGTAGCCTTACCCAGTTGGCAATAGAAGGGCCTGAAACCCCTTCTAGAAGCACTTCTAGTCCTTCCATTGGCAGACAGGAGCACTTCTACTTCTCCTTCTTTTTTGTATGAGATGTCCCACTTATCAAGGCCTTACATTTCCCTTTCTCTGGGAAGGGCTTCCATGTGCACTTCCATAAGAAAAGCTGCAGAAGCCCTTCCTGAATTGTGCTGTTATAGTGGCTTATTATTTAATTAAAGTAAGTACTTACAAAGTGGCTCATTAGGTAAGGCCTTCCACCTCCCTTTCTGGGCTGTAAGGTATAATTCCATAAGAAACGATCTAAAACCCCTGCATGAATTGTTGCCATTTAATGGCTTTTTATTTAATTAAAATAAGGGCTTAAAAAAGGAATATAACAAAAACATTAATAAATTTCAATGTAAATAATACTGTACACAATTACTTACACTTGCGATCAGCTAATTAAGCCAGCAACGTTTTGATCTATTTTGACTCTTTTATTTTGTTTATTTAATATGTATTAGTTTTTATGATAAACTAGCTCATTTATAACAAACATCATATAAACCCACATTTTAAACTTTGTTCGAAATTTATAAAAAATCTGCAAAGTTTCATCTAAATTTTCAACTATTTATTGAGATTGTCGAAAAAATGCGTAATTCCGTTAGAAAAATAACTTGCACTTTATTATACTAGTAGGTATTTATTGGGCTATTAAACTACATACTCCAAAAAATTCTGAAAAATCTCAATAAAAAGTTGAAAATTTAGTTGAAACTTTGCAATTTTTTATAATTTTTGAACAAAGTTTGAAATGTGGTTTTATATGATGTTTGTTATAGAATGAGGTAGTTTTTCATAAAAACTAATACATATTAAATAAATAAAATAAAAATATCCAAAATTGATCAAAACGTTGCTTCCTCATTTAGCTGATCACAATGTAAGTCATTGTAATTTAAATTTCGTATTTGGAACTCAAAAATTTCAAATATTACATATTACATATTTATGTATACAGATATTTTTCAAAGTGATTAATTAAATATATTGATAAATTCAGTAAATTTTGTAATTATGGACAAAATTATTCTGAAACTTCCAAAAAAGTTAAAGTTAAAAAGTAAAAGTAAAAGTAAATTTCACAACTGCAAGCTAGAGGAGGGTAACTCAACTCAGAGTTGAGTTATTGAATTGTTTCCCATGACAGTGTATACAGTGTGCCTTGCAGTGTGCCAAGTAATGACATTTAATTTTTCTGTGTTTTTTAAACATGTGTTATCTTAGGGTTAATTGAAATAAACAACTAACATAAACACATCAGTTCGTGTATGAATTGTCAAATATGGATATTGTCATTACTTGGCACACTGTCTACACTGTGGTTTCCCATAAGTGAATCGGTAGCTCAGACTCCCTGTCCAAAAAAATGTAACTCAGTTACTCAGTTGATGTCCTAGGGCTCACATGATTCAATTGAGTCATAGTGGCTCATATTTGTCCGTATAACTCTCTCACTTCGCCACAGTGTTTAGCATGGCAAAGTCTTGCATTTTGTTTTTGCACAAGGCGAATTTATACAAGGTGACGGCTAGAATACAACAACAACCACCACATGCATTTTGTATTGCGGGTGTTATGTCAAATCTCAATTCTGGCAACATAGCGTACATCAAAGTAAAGGTATTTTTATGCACTTTTTAAAAATAGTATTTTTGCATATTGTTAATTACGTATTTTTTTAGAAAAACGTACATTTTTATAAAAAAATGGTTATAATTTCGTTTTTTTAGTTTTTCTCGAAATATGTATGTAAGATATATAAAGATGTGCATATCAAATAAAAGATATATCAATTACCTTTCAAACCATATCCACATTTTGAAATAGTTTTCGAAATACAAATGAAAATATTTAAAATTTTACCTTTACCCTCCCCTAACACCACCTCCATTAATTTGCACCAAAAAAATTGTACACCTTACAAATCAGTAGAAGGGAGCTGACCACGCCCACTTTAAATATTTGTTTTATCTCACCGGCCGCTATACCGCACTTATGCCTCAAAACGAGTCTACGATATGAATGAGTGTAACATACAAAGAGTCAAATGAGTTAGTTGAATGAGCTGACTCCTGAAAGAGAGTTGGAGTCATTGAGTCAACTCCTATAAATTTGCTGAGTTCCCACCCTTACTGCAAGAACAAAAATCTGCCTATGCAGCTTCTCAGGAAGGGTTTTTTGAAGGGCATGAAAAGGAAACATGCTGACAGGCCTCCTATGAGAAGCCGTTTTGCAAATGCCAACTGGGTAGTAGTTAAAGCGTAACAAAAAGCCAAATCACTTTCTGATTTATAATATTAGTAAGGAAAGGATTGATTGTTTTAAAATTTTTTTTTAATTTCATTTAATTCATTTCATTTGTTTGGTTTCAGGTTTTATTGTTTTAAAAGAAAAAAATTTTTTAATTTTCATAAATTTTTTTTANTAATTCATTTCATTTGTTTGGTTTCAGGTTTTATTGTTTTAAAAGAAAAATATTTTTTAATTTTCATACATTTTTTTTACTGATTTTGTTTTTTGTTTATTTAATAGAGCCTTATAAATACAAATTCTAAGAGCCAGGAAAAACTATTATAAACTAATGTACATAGTTACTAGACTTGATCATGTTGTTGTTATTATTTTCGATAATGAGGAGATGTGGTAATCTCCGAAATAGCAGTTATAACTTTTGACAAATGTGAAATATTTAGCAAATAGATTTCGTGTTTAATGAGCAAAACTGCAAAAAAAAACACACCGGTTAAGGAACTCTATTATGTATTGAAAAGGAGCCGATCTTTAAAATAAAGCTGAAGTTAAACTTTTCATATGAATTGGAGTAGGTATGTATATGTATAATCTCGATTCTTTAAGAACAACAGTGTGCATAATCAAGTGAAGCGACGTGCATATATACGTTTGTAGTGGAGGTGTTTTGTAAACTAAATATCAATTTATTTTGGTTTATTATAAGTCTTTGATGTACGTTTATGTATGTATATTCGAACATCTATTTGCAGTGATTCGCCAACATACCGTTCTTGTTTCCACACGTTAACAGCAAAACACTTGACAAATTCAGGAAAAACAACTGCAAATTATTCATCATTATTTTTAAATTATTGCATTCGTTAGCTTATCAACAGTCAACACCGTCATCTGCAAATATTTTTTATTTTAACTATTCACGATGTATGTTTTTAACATTTTCTTGTTATATTCTTTATTAAACACACTAAATTGCAGCCACGGTTTAAGTGGGTTTGTGAAATAACAAAGATTAATGAAGTTGCCGAAAACGTACTACCATTAACCTCAGTGTTGCTACTACAATTTCTACATTACCAGTTTAGCAACAACTTATAAACGATGTTAGTGTGGGCCAATTTGTATTTAAATTATGCCAAGTATTTAAATACACAAGTGTGGTTAATAACAGCATAAATTAGAACAAACAAATCAAGGATATACAAACATTCATACACATGTACATACTTAGATCCTGAAGTATTTTGATTAGGTGTGCATGTATTTACATCAGGGTGGTCCAAAAATGCATTTAAAAATTAAAGTCAGAACTTTTATGCTCTCACCTCCTAGGATTTTTCTATATTGGAAAAATATACGCCTATCTTTTTTATTTTGAGATAAAAAAATAATTAGCGGTCGCTCAAAGCGCTCAATGTTTTCCATGTATTTTATATAGGGAATGTTGTAGCTGATGTTCATTTGTTCGATATTTGTTTCCTACTTTGCTTGGCTCGTAATTGAAGCAACAAAGTTGATAATTGACACACTTCGCTGGGCGTTATTGGTTTTAGTCTGCGGTTGCTTCTCCTTTTTACAACGCTTTTATCTGCTTGCAATGTTGTGTGTCCAGACAGCATTTTAGCTATAAAACCTTTGCTTTGCAAAGTTCCTATAAAAAGCCCTAGGCATAGGACGAAATCTACCTCTATGGTTGGGAGGTAGATGTCGCCCTATGTACTACGTACGCTACAGCGCCATCTATATATAAATACGCCACAAGAAAATTTTTCAATCCCTTTTTTGAAAGCACCGTTCGCTCGATTTCAATGAAAAATACACCGATTTAAAGGATATAACTTCCTCTAATCCCGAAATGTTAGTCCCGATATATAGGGAGCGTGGAATCTGACATATAGACTAAAATGTGAAAACCACTATATCTCTAAAACGAATTATGCTAGGGAACTGAAACTTTGCACAGATGCATAGATTAGAAATACCCTACTTACGGCGAAAAGTGGTAGATTTTGGAAAAGGGGACGTGGTCCTCCCATACAAACTAAAATTCTCATATCGCTTTTCTCTGGAACCGCTTATGCTGACGTCCTGAAATTTTACACGCAACATATGTTGTCAATACCATACTTACGGCGAAGTATGGTAGATCTTGGAAAAAGAGGCGTGACACCCCCATACAAATTGAAATTCTCATATCGCTTATCTCTGGAACCACTTATGCTAACGTCCTGAAATTTGACACAGCTCTTTGATATCAATAACGTACTTATGGCGAAAAGTGGTATATAATGGGAAAGGGGCGTGGCACCGCCCATACGAACTGAAATTCTCATATCGCTTAGCTCTGGAACCGCTTATGCTAACATCCTGAAATTTGACACAGCAACAATCGAGGTTCCTTTTTAGGTCTATGTATTTTCAAAAGCTACTGAGGAGGAGACTTGGTAGAATTAGCATTAATCAATCCGGTGTTAACGTTCATAATTCGATTTTAAGTTTTCCTGTAAATTCGCCATAAATTATGCTGGTCGACTTCAAAATAGTAATTCGCATAAAGGATTTAATATTGGTGACAGGTAAAATTCAAGAGTGTATGAAAAAAGATGTCGAATTTCGACAACTGGGCGATACTAGTTTCTTTAAATCAGCGTTGGGCAGAGAGAGCTTTTACTCTGCTTGCGCCTATACAAAATGTATAGAAAGCTTAAAAGAGCTTTGCCCGCGGGCAATGCATTGCTAATCAGTGCTTTAAATGAAATTAATTGGAAGGCGTACGTACATTCATATATATATGCATGTGTGTGCACCAATTTATTAATATCGTTGAATTATTTTAAAATCTATTGCAAAATTTTATACAGACAAGACCAAAGATGACCATACTCACCGACGTAATTGAAAACTCACCACCGTGTATGTGCGACGTTTACGCGGGCTTCTCTCTCTCTACGTACACGTCGGTGAGTGTGGGCACCTTAACAAGTAGAAAATAAATAAAATAAAAAAATCTTTTTAATATGCGTGGTTTTATAAATGGACTAAAAATTAACTTTTGATTTTGAGNGGCACCTTAACAAGTAGAAAATAAATAAAATAAAAAAATCTTTTTAATATACGTGGTTTTATAAATGGACTAAAAATTAACTTTTGATTTTGAGTTTAGCAAAAGTCATTATAAACAATTTATGAGATTGAAAATGAAAAGCGTGGAGTGCATGCATATATGTAATACTCCTATATTGGCAGTAAGAGCTAGTACCGTCCGAAAACATTGCAATACAGATACAGTATATTTTGCTTTGCTGGCTTTATGCTTAAGTGCACATTTAAGATACCTACCTTAAAATGCGCATCAGCGGTATTATTTTTAACATTTTTAAGGAAACTGCTCCGATAGATGCTTTCAACATACCTGCACATTAGCGATACCTGCCTTCAAAATTGTGCAACTGTTATCAATTATCAAAGAAAGTATGACGTTTACCTGCACTGCCCTACAATTACCTAATTTCAAAAGCTTTTACTTATTTTGCTCATCTCGCAGAACAACGAGAATGACTATCAACTTATGTAGTTATATAGATAATTAGATACCATTCGGTAAAAAATTCGCTTGCAGTAATTTCTACGTGATAGGCGCTCCTCCATTATTTGGTTTCATAGGGATTCGGATACCTTCCTAACTGAAGTAGTAAAGAAAATTCGCGTAAGTGCCTTTTTCGGTTAAGAGCACAAGTTTTTCGTGCAAACAAGGATGGGCAGCTAAGCAAAATATTCTGTACCTATATCAATAAAACCGTACAAAAGAAAAGGAGCACATACGTTTATAAATAAACATATACACAACACATACACAAAATCGGCGCTCCCGTACACAATACATACCAGGGATGATGCGAATATTTGCATTCGAATTCGTTATGCGAATGATTCGCATTCGTTATGCGAATGATTCGCATTCGCATCAAATGATACGAATGCTTTGCGAATGCGAATGTGTACATGGGCAGAGTGTCCACACTAATGTTGTTGAAATGGCTCTAAGTCTGCCTAACCAGGGTGCGGGCTATAACCGGCCTTTAGCTTCAGGCTCTAAACGGTTAAGTAGTATATCAAGCAACATTGATGGGTCTTTAACAAGTACCGCTAAAAGTCGTATAAACAACCTAGAAATAATTTTAGATTCCTCCAGCGGAAGCAAAGGCTCGGATGTAAAATCTGACAAAATTGACAGATCTGGGCCGCAAATATTTGAGCGCTCCACCCGCCGTTCCAAGTGAGCAATTTTTAATGCAGCCGGTCTTATNTCTCTACGTACACGTCGGTGAGTGTGGGCACCTTAACAAGTAGAAAATAAATAAAATAAAAAAATCTTTTTAATATACGTGGTTTTATAAATGGACTAAAAATTAACTTTTGATTTTGAGTTTAGCAAAAGTCATTATAAACAATTTATGAGATTGAAAATGAAAAGCGTGGAGTGCATGCATATATGTAATACTCCTATATTGGCAGTAAGAGCTAGTACCGTCCGAAAACATTGCAATACAGATACAGTATATTTTGCTTTGCTGGCTTTATGCTTAAGTGCACATTTAAGATACCTACCTTAAAATGCGCATCAGCGGTATTATTTTTAACATTTTTAAGGAAACTGCTCCGATAGATGCTTTCAACATACCTGCACATTAGCGATACCTGCCTTCAAAATTGTGCAACTGTTATCAATTATCAAAGAAAGTATGACGTTTACCTGCACTGCCCTACAATTACCTAATTTCAAAAGCTTTTACTTATTTTGCTCATCTCGCAGAACAACGAGAATGACTATCAACTTATGTAGTTATATAGATAATTAGATACCATTCGGTAAAAAATTCGCTTGCAGTAATTTCTACGTGATAGGCGCTCCTCCATTATTTGGTTTCATAGGGATTCGGATACCTTCCTAACTGAAGTAGTAAAGAAAATTCGCGTAAGTGCCTTTTTCGGTTAAGAGCACAAGTTTTTCGTGCAAACAAGGATGGGCAGCTAAGCAAAATATTCTGTACCTATATCAATAAAACCGTACAAAAGAAAAGGAGCACATACGTTTATAAATAAACATATACACAACACATACACAAAATCGGCGCTCCCGTACACAATACATACCAGGGATGATGCGAATATTTGCATTCGAATTCGTTATGCGAATGATTCGCATTCGTTATGCGAATGATTCGCATTCGCATCAAATGATACGAATGCTTTGCGAATGCGAATGTGTACATGGGCAGAGTGTCCACACTAATGTTGTTGAAATGGCTCTAAGTCTGCCTAACCAGGGTGCGGGCTATAACCGGCCTTTAGCTTCAGGCTCTAAACGGTTAAGTAGTATATCAAGCAACATTGATGGGTCTTTAACAAGTACCGCTAAAAGTCGTATAAACAACCTAGAAATAATTTTAGATTCGTCCAGCGGAAGCAAAGGCTCGGATGTAAAATCTGACAAAATTGACAGATCTGGGCCGCAAATATTTGAGCGCTCCACCCGCCGTTCCAAGTGAGCAATTTTTAATGCAGCCGGTCTTATATACGAGCCTCCAAGAAATCGCCTCATGGGAGAAAAGGCAGCAAAATTACTTTTTTTGAAATATAATGTACCCATTTTGAACTTTGATTACAAGATTAAAACACTTATAGGTTAAGCACTCGTTCAATGTTCTAATTATTTAAAAAAAAATTTAAGTAATAAAAACGATGACTTAACATTCGCATTCGCACATTCGCATTCCGAATACCCGCATTCGCATTCGCGTTCGCGAATGTGAAAAATATGGCATTCGAAACATCCCTAATACATACACAAAAACCGTACTAGACTATCTCGCTTTGATTTCGGAATGCTTACACATTGGGAAGTTAGCTTACTACTTACTGGGCGCATGTAATAGACTTGAACTGATATCNGTAATAAAAACGATGACTTAACATTCGCATTCGCAC